GAGAGGGCTCCCAGCTCCCCCTGTTGTTCATGCCTCGGAGGCTGGCGAGTGCTCTTTTGGGACATCCTGTGCCTTCATATTGGGACTGCTTTAGTTACAGTCATGGAACCTGCTGCGAGGATTTGTTTTGAAGAGAAGGGTAGCATTGTGGAACTAGTAATTTTATATGTTGATGACCAAAAAGAAACTTCTGTCAAATCCTAAAAAGTCTGGTGAGTAGATACATGGATGTATTCTCTCCTGGGCCATGGAAATGGCCCAGTGATGTGGCAGGAGCTTAGGAACAGTTGTGTGAGCTGTCAACAGGACATAATGGATTTGCTGGTGGTAACAAACAGGCGTGCAGGTGTGAATACACAACCTTCCCTGTGAGCAGAATAATGCCCTTCCCCATATCCTTTGCTCACTTACTGTGGCCTTCCTGTGAGAGCTCTAGGAGTTTAATTTCATCATACAGATGATTATAGGACGTCTCATAGAGCGCCTTGCTCCAGATTAAAGGGAGTTGTCTTAATGTTTCATCATCCAGCTTTACATACTCGCTTCCACTGGCAGCATGGGGAAGCAAAGGCCACTCAGCTGTGACTCGGAAAGTGTGGGTTCCAGCCTGGCCTGCCTCGAGCTGTGTGTGAAGGAGCACACCATGCAGACACCTGCCCGCACCCCACCCCAACCTCCGAGGACTTCCTTTGCAGTTGCCATTTCCAGGCTTCGGGTTCATAAACCATGTTGCGCCTGACACCATCTTGCTGCAGGAGAAAAAGGAAGTTCTGAAGCCAGCAGAGGGGCGCGCCTGTGATCCCAGAGCTCTGGGAGGCTGAGGCACAAGGATTGCAAGTTTCAACCCAGACTGAGCAACTTAGCAACTATTCGTCTCAAAAAATGAAAAAGGCTGGGGATGTAGCTCCGTGTGATGGCCCTGGATTCTGTCCATAAAAAACCAACCAAAACTTCAGAACTTTCTTTTTCTCCTGCATCAAGATGGTTGCAGGGGCAGCATGGTTTATGAATCCAAAGCTTGGAAATGGGTAACCGCAACCAAAAAATAAAAGTTCTGAGACCCACACCAGCCCTCTCCTAGACAAAAAGCCTCAGTCCCTGGCAGACGATTTGCCCACCATATTCTTAAAATGTCCCCCACCTCTGCTCATGCTTCCCCCACCTGCGGCACTCACTGGTCCCTTCTCTCACCCTGATCTGGCTGCTGAGCACAATCCCCCCTCCATTCCCCAGTCAGCTGGTACATGCAGCCACCAAACGGTGAGAATTAAAAATCATACTAGCTATCAATATAGGATGTGTTCATGTGGAGATTTAGAAAATTCAACACATAAAAAGAAAAAAAGTCACATTTTCAATCAGTATATTATATATAGGTATT